TTTTTTCTTTACTTTACTTTTTATTAAACTTTACTTATATAAGTAAATTAGTTTAAATATTATCTTTAATATTATTATTTTCTTTTATTAAAAAGTATTATATAATATTTTTTTTTAATAAATAAAAGTAATTATTATATTAAATATATTAAACTTTTTCTTTTATAATAATAAACTTCTTTTATTACTTTAAATAAATAATTATAATAAAGGCTATAAAATTTATTTAAAGTTCTTTAATATTAAATTATTTATATAATTAATAAATTTATATATATTAATAGATTTAATGTTTAACCCTAGCTAAGAGGCGGCGAGGATTATGTAGTGTACCTAGGTGGGGCGGCCAATCGGGGGGGCCGGTCTTCTTCGATTTTAGGTGGTGTACCTAGGTAGTGCACCTTTTGTGTTATTCGCGTCCACCGTCGATAATTTCGAAAGGGATGGGTGCACTATACTTAGCTTATCCAGCGCTATCGAACGTAGGTAATTGTATAATCGTACGACTTCTCGTTATTGTGCTATAGTTTTGAGGTGGGTTGCCACCTCTCTACTCCTCCTCTCGCTAAGTTCTAAGATAACTCAGTATAACTTTTATTTCTTAGTAGCGATTATAGAACTCGCTATACTAGTAATTAAGGTTAAAGAGTAAAGAGTATAACCCTCGAATTTATAGAGACGATAAAGAAAAGAGATAAGACCCGCTAACCTATAGATATACGTAACCTACAAGCGAGAGATCGAGAATAAAGAAAACAGGGTAACCCGCCTCTACCCGTATAACTCGGCTTAGGGAATAGAAAAATCTCCTCGTTTTTCGATCTTTTATCGACTCTAATGGCCTTTAGGAAGGCTTAGCTATCCGTTAAACTCTTTTGTAACCTTGTCTGATTGATATTCAACATCGACGCAATATATTAATTTCGGACAACAAGGGAGTTCCTTAGTATACCGGGTATGCCAGAGACTTCCTTAGTATACCGGGTATGCCAGAGACTTCCTTAGTATACCGGGTATACTAGAGACTTCCTTAGTATACCGGGTATACTAGAGACTTCCTTAGTATACTGGGTATGCTAGAGACTTCCTTAGTAAACTGGGCTAGTAGGAAAGTCGATCTTATATTATAATATAAGAGACTCCTCGATAGTCTTCCTTCCTCGATATCCCTTCTTTTCTTTTTATATTTCGATAATCTTCCCCTTCTCCCTAGTTCATTATATTAATATAATAGACTCCTCGATATCCCTCCTCTTCTTTTTCTATTCGATAATCTTCCCCTTCTCCCTAGTTTATTATATTAATATGATGGACTCCTCGATAGTCTTCCACCTTAATTATTGTTCTCTTCTTTCCCTTCGCTCCTTTCTCTGCTTTACTTTCTACCGAACTTCACTTGTATAAGTAAATTAGCCTGAATATTATCTTTAGCATTATTGCTTCCCCTCGCTAGGAAATATCGTGCGATATCCTCCCTTACGAGGTATCCCGTAAACAAGAGTAATTATCGTACTAGACGTATTAAACTCTTCCTTCCGTGACGATAAACTCCTCTCGCTACCCTGGACAGATCGTTGTAATGTGCTTCCAGTAATAGAGGCTACAAGATTTGCCCAAAGTCCCTCGACATTAAATTGTCTACGTGACCAACGGACTTACGTATACTGATAGGCTTAGCGCTCAGCTCTACTATATTTTGTTTACCTGATATTATTCCTATCACCCCCCGAAACTTTTCTTTTGCATATATAGTATCTCTTTCTAAACACATCGTTCTTCTCTCGGTCCTCTAATTCTTAAAGCTTCCCATCATTCAAAGTCCGAAAGGCGTCTTTAGGTTCCTAAGATAACTAAAGCCGCTAAGGTATCCCTTGACGATGTTAAGCATGCCGCCGAAGTAGTGAGTTCTGATCATAGATGGGCCTTAGTGACGGAAGACTGATTTCGATCCGATAGGCTTATATCCTAGCGCAGGGATACGTCGATGGCTTCAAAGGCAAGGATAAGGACCTGGCGAAGAAGAGAGCGCGGGAGGCTATCGTACCCTATAACTACCCTCTCTCTATATCTAGTAGAATAGACCGCTAATAAAGGCACCAAGTCATTCGAGACAAGAACAAAGACAACGGCGACGATGCTAGCGAAGATAACAAATCTATAGAACTAAGTAGCTCCGACGAGGAAGATTGTGACAGTGGCGAAGAGGACGAAGATACAGAACTGAGCAGCTCCGACGAGGAAGACGATACCGACAACACAGATAACTCCGAGGATAATGTTTACGTTACCATAAAGACGAAGAGAGTCTCGGTCACCCGAAGCAAGAAAACCCTAGCGGCAACAAAGCAGGCTCGTCCAGTCACTAAGAAATCGTCTGCCAAAGAACGTAAGCGTCGTGGGGATAACACTAACGACGACACTAATAGCGACATCAATAAACGACGCAAGGCAACTAGCAACCACTATAGCAGTAGAACTAAGAGTAGAGTCTTCAAGGCCGGCAAACTCTCCAAGAGCAAGTAAGCCCTAGCCGTTAGGTCAAATACGACTATCCTTATACCAGGCCAGTAGACACGTTAATACACAGCCCTTCAGATATTGTTAAGGACTTGGGAGTAGGGGAGTACGTCGAGAGAGTAGTTAGTTTTGATAGTACAAGGCTATAGCTCTTGTATAAATTAAACGAACTGTACCTATATTCTCCACGACGTATAAAGTAGTTCTCGTCGGATCCAAATTCTTTATCTGCTACTTAGGTAAGATCTCTCCGTCCGGATTCCCTTTTTGAATTCGTGCTTATAGGTTACTCGAAATGTCTCCTCTATTCTTATAATCTACGGTGACTGACTGCTCGCTGCTATAATCCACCTCTTCCCTAGCATCGGTCCCGTTATTAGTATCCGTTTTCTCGTCAGTATCGGTTTGACCTCCCCATCTCATCTTATCGCTAAGGACGATCTCATTATAAAGCTAGGTGTCGTATCCTCTCGTGGTGCCGATAGATTCAGATTCCTCGCCGTCACTAAACGTGATCCCTCTAAAAATGGCGCCTAACCTCGGCGGCTGTATAAGTGTTGGAAGTATCGGTGTATATTGTGCGATCCCGTCTCGTATTGGGCTTAGTGCTCTGGTCTCCTCGTCTTCCCTGTTCGGGAACCATTCGCTTCTGGTTCGCTCCTGGTGACCTGGTATCGTGCTTTTGCTTTGATGTTCGCTATGCTTGGTATCGTCGCGGTAGGGGATTACGTCCGCGCAGGCCTAATAGTGCCCGTGCTTAAGGAGGCGGATTATGGAACTAGAATAGTTAGAAAGCGAACCCTTGAAGTATAGATTGCAACGTATAAGATAGGTTGTCTATCGCTTTTAAGCTACGCTATAGTTCTGTCCCATTATAGAGTCTAGTATTCTGGTAGCCGCGGCTCTCCGGGCGTCACTAGCAATCCTGTGAGGCGCGCGAATTTAAAAGGATATATCTAGGTAATATCTCGGTCGAGACCGCGAAGCCGAGATGATTAGGATATAAAGCAATGGCCGTTAATAGTGGAAGAGAGAGAAGAATAATGATAGTTGGCTAGTAAGCGAATTTGGGCGTACGCGAAAAGTGAGCCTACCATACTAGTATACCCTGCCAAGTATTTCACTATTCGGTTTCCTACCCCACCGCTCAATTCACGGAGATCCCAAATTGTTTATATATTTCTATCTCTCGCCAAAATATACGATACGCTCCCCTAAGCATCAATTAAGTTCTCTAACTATGGCTCGCGCCGAGTTAAAGGCGAAGTATATTGTTCGTGCGTCCTAGGCGTTATTTATAGATTATCTCGACTAACTTAAATAATAGTCTCTCACTCCCGTTAAGATGAAGTCTAAGACTTTCACTCCCGTTAAGATGAAGTCTAAGACTCCTACTCTCGTTAAGATAAAGTCTACGACTCCTACCTCCAAGTCCCCCACTACGCAAAAACTTAAGTCTTCTACCCCGGATAAGTCCAAGACTGGCTCGGCTAAAACCAAAGCGAGCGGTACTGTAGAGACCCGTCCTTTTGAAAGCGTGTTGACTAATATCTTTTGCCTTTAGTTGTAGATATTAAACGTCGTCGTGAAAAGGTTGACATCGACTCCGACTCCGACACTAATTCCGAAGAAGCAGAAGCGACCAGTGAGAGTGATACTAGTGACGAGACTACCGACTCCTTATCTGATAAGGATAAACACTCTATTGCTACGGAGCTTGCTACGACTAAGAAGGTAATCCATTATTACTTCGAAAATGCAGCCCAAGCCTAAAAGCGTATTGTTAAACTAGAGGCGAAGCAGGCGGCAGCTTTAAAGAAGGAGAAGTAAGAACGTCGTAAGAAGCAGAAGCAAGAACGTCGTAAGAAGTCTAAGCTTTCCCCTAAAGGCAAGAAGTCTAAGAAGGCTTGAGTTAAGATAAGGATAATACAAAGCTAGATGATATAAGCCTAGTGAATTTAAGATACGAGTTATTTAGATGATAAGGTCACATTTCCTCGAGCTAGGCATTAAGTCTTTTGGGACGAAGGGATAAACGTGTATCTCTTGGTGTAATTTTAGTTACCCAGAATACTATAGGGCTCATTCAGATCAATGATTGCAAAACAGTCATCTATATTCCCGCTCCGTATATAAGATAGTGGTCTCCTTGTAGATCCCCGTAAGGGACGTATTCCCGCTTAACCCCAAACACTCCTTGGACCCTCTTACTAAGCCAGCTTTAGGGACGATAGTAGAAGTACCGGGCCGCCTCGATATGCTTCCCTCTCTTGGTCCACTATACTAATATAGTAGACTCCTCGATATACTTCCCTCTCTCGGTCCACTATACTAATATAGTAGACTCCCCGATATACTTCCCTCTCCTAATTCACTATACTAGTATACCTAGTAAGTTAAGACGGTCGAGGCGTTACCCTAGGATAATAGTGACTTATTCTATTTCGTAGAGGAAAACGACCTCGGTAGGAAGCAGGCTAGAAGGTTAAGGAAATACTATTTTAGATAGATTAATGTAATAAAACACCTTGAACGCAAGGCCTTGCTATTGTAGATAGTGCCTTAGAATGCAAATATAGGCGTAGCCTCGCCGCGTGACGCGCCGAGCATTTATCGACGTCTTTAGAATATAAGTGCTATCTACTCGAAAGGATATGATCCTACAATAGAAATAGATCTCTTAGTGCTTCTTCTCCCTGTTTCCCGTGTCCGTACCATAATGATCTAACCGTGTAGGAAGCTTAGTACCGTTGGTATCGTACCCGATAGTACGTTCATCGTAGCAGGCGAAGTACTACTAAAAACCCTTCGCTGGACGACAGTACGCGTCAGTTGATGGCCAGTTATACTTTACGTCTATATAGACCCCGCTAGCCGACCGCTTATCGGCTGCGTAGTTTAATAGAGCGGGTAGAATATGGTCGGCGACTATTTTTATTGCGATAGGAGCTTGGCGCTAATAGAAGTAGGTCATTCTTTGTAAACCATGGAGTGTGAAGATAGACCGAGGCTGGATATAGCACCGCTTAACTTCTTGGACTGCCTACCCTAGCTTGCGAGCTAGGTGGTACGCTCGTTATACCACCGGGACGAGGCACTCCTTGTGGTGGGCTTTACCTGTGGCGAAGTAGGGTAGAGACTTAGAGGTGCTAAAGTCAACCTAGATTTCGCAATTTAGAGAGAATAGTTACTTAACAACCAACTTTTCAATATTGGATATATCCGACACCGCCAAATGGACTTAAAAGCCTCGTCGGCCGATGCTATTGATCCACTTGACCACGGACCGGTCGACCGTATCTAAACACTAAGTTTTGCCTGCCCGAGACGGTGAGTACGCGGCGGCGATGATTACGTGCTACGTATTTACTAGGCCCTCGGTTAGAAGGAGATTAAGGTCCTAGAGCGATATATATAGCACGACTTTGCTAGATAGTGTAAAGAGATAGTTGTTCTATAGACAACGACCGAGTGTCGGATCCGATAGTACTACGCGGCGCTAGACCCTCCGGCGGAGTGCACCGTCAGCAAAATTCATCTATTCGCCGCGACGGGTAGTTAAGTCATCCTGTAGATGACGGAAAATGTTCATCTATAGCTCCGTTGGTAGCTACGGCAGTGTTTTTTGGCTTTCTAGGATCGATCGTGCTCTATCTAAGGAGGCCTGATTGTATATTTTTGTCCTAGCTGCTTACTTCTCGATTATGATATTCTTAGATTCGATCTTAGGCACGAGGAAAGGAAGAGGTAAGCGCGAGGCCGACATTTTCGACGAAGGCCCTATATTGATACGCTGTTAGTGGTACGATAAATAGAAGGGCAAAGTATATACTAACCAAGAGGAAGGATAAAAAGGGTGGAATGATAGTGCCGGACGTTTAGGGCCCCAATGCAATGTTGTAGTGTCTAGAAAGGCAAGGGAAGTTGAGAAATGGGTCGCGATAGAGAAGCGTTTCAGGATACTGGGAGCTTGAAATTCGGAAGGATTTTGGGGGTCAGTATACCGGTATGCTGAAAGCGTGATTCGATTATTTGTTTACGGTGCGGCAGTAGGACATCACTTTAGATCAACCTAGTCTTCACCACTTTTGATCAACCCATTCTTATCACTTTAGATCAACCCAGCGTTTATAGATTACCCTATTGTCTTGATAGCTATCTCCCTATTAATATTCTCCCATCAACTATCCTCCACTATTACTCGCACTACTTCTCTTATTATATCGATTGCCTCTTTCTATCTTATAGGAGCTTTTCCACCGTGACGCCACTATGGTTCCTAAATCCATTAAGGGTGGAAAGTCTAAGGTCGTCGTAAGTTGTCTCTCTAGTCTAGTGGAGATAGAATACCTTGCTAATAAACTCTTTTTAGGTAGGCTCCCTTGGAGTAAAAGTTGCTAGGGGAAGAGTTCTGGGTTAGAGTACCTCTTTAGTGACTAAGACGTTAACCACTGTTATTGAACCTAATGGCGATATTAAGATAACCGTCACTGGTGAGACGAAAATCCCACTGTCCCGTTGAATATAAACTAACTTCCAAATAGTGAACAAGACTAAGCGCGCTATTGTCGAGATAAGCTCTAGCTCTAGCTTCGGCTCTAGCGATAGCGATAGCGACAGCGACGCGAGGTAGGCTATGGCTACGGCGAAATCCACCCTAAAGTCTAGCTCCAAGAAGACCTCCACCCTAAAGTTAAGCTCTAAGAAGACTTCTACCCTAAAGTCTAGCTCTAAGAAGATCTCTACCCTAAAGTTAAGCTCTAAGAAGACTTCTATCCTAATGTCTAGCTTTAGCTCTAGCTCCGGCGATAGTGATAGCGATAGCGACAGCGATAGCGACGCGATATAGGCTACGGCTACGGCGAAATCCACCCTAAAGTCCAGCTCCAAGAAGACCTCTACCCTAAAGTTAAGCTCTAAGAAGACTTCTATCCTAATGTCTAGCTTTAAGAATACCTCTACCCTAAAGTTAAGCTCTAAGAAGACCTCTACCCTAAAGTCTAGCTCCAAGAAAGCTAGAATTGCTTAAGATAATGATACGCTTATGAACCTGGCCCCGCTATCTAAGAAGATTAAGAAGAACTGTACGGCTAGTTATGGCAAAGTGTATATGGCACACCTCGAATAAGTAATTTACGCCTCTATCTCTAGCAGTTGGAAATATCGTCCTTGAAGGGCCGAATGAAGAACACTAGTATTGCTGAATGGCAATTTATGCTAAATGGACCTCCCTAAGAAACGTAATTCCTACTTTCTGCCCGATCTATTTCCCTGAAAGTATATCACTGGGTGCATACCGAAAGCGTGCTGTATACTGCGTACTGCATCCCTTGAAAGTAAGTATGCTTGATGCTGCGTGCTCGATGCTGCGTGCTTAGTGCTACGTGCTTGGTGCTGTATGCAGCGATACGCGCAATGGATAAGGTAATGTGCTAAATAGAGGTAATTCGGTCGATTCTACCGGTGTCTTTCTAGATGGATTGTAGTCTCTATGCTTAGTTGGTGCTGATCATTCTGCTTGATTCGTTGCTGGCTTCTATGGCCTTCTCTCCAGCCTTCCACTGGTTCTATGGGTTGAATTTTGGCGTGCTTGCTCGATACCTTCTCTTTTAGCCTGGGGGCTTTGACTTCGCGTTTCCGCTTTTTGCGGATGCGGTCGACCTAGGCCTCGACGTGCTAAATACCGACCCGGACCTATCGGTTTCCCGGTGGGCGCTTCTTCCTTAGAGTTAGTACTCGCTCTGCGTGTTCTTTTTTTGCTCTTGCGAGAGATAGTAGTCTCGTCGGCCCTTCCACTTTGACGTTTGGCGGTTGTAGATGACCGGGGATTTCTACGTGGAATAGATATAGTAGAAAGGGTCTTAGATTCTATGTCCGTAGATGGGTCTTTATCGGTAGCCGGGTCGGAGAGATGAAGACTGTGAAAAGACGACGCGGATGTGGATGAAGACGGAGAAAGTACCTATCGATGGCGACCTGGTAGATATTTAGTATATGATGTAGTAAAGTCGGCTGATTTATACGTGGTTGATACTTGAGGTTGATTCGAGCCTCGATGGCCGGAGACGTCGACGAAGGTCTTACGTTTGAGCCACTGGTGGACGTGCTAGACGTGCTGGAGTTATCGTTATCGTCGTCGAAGAGGGCGTTCTTCTTTGACTACTCGCGGCTTAGGTTAGTTCGCATTTCGATAGGATACTATCCTTATATGTCAACATTACTATGTTAAACTTGCCGCTCAATTTCGGACCTATATTGGTATAAAGATGAAGGAATAATTACCGGCCAACTGCTGGGCCGACCGAGCCGGAAGAACCTGGTAGGCTTGGAATGATGGTATAGTAAGGTGGTTGAATGTCGAAGTGTAAACACCCTAAAGTAAAATGGCGGTTATTTGTGTAGTAGTGATGTTAAGTATAAAATCTCGTTGTTTTAAATTTCTCGTGGACGCGAAACACTTTCAACTAGAAATGGTACCATTAGTTGTACCAATCTATTAGGGCTGCCG